GGCGACTTTTTACTTTCACTCCACTACATTTCAAAGACTAATATCTTACTTTTTACTCCACTACATTATGTGAAATCTGTCGTTCCTTTTGGCTTATATGTGTGTATAAAAACATAACGTCAAAATAAAAGAAGCGTGAAGGAAGACACCAATCAGGGCACAGAGCACACTTTGTTTTGAGCTTGATTTGACTTTGTTCAACGGTTCAACATCAGTGCAGCAGTGTAAAATTTTGGGAGAGTCTAAATTATGAACTAACCTAACTTTGTGTAAACAGACCACAATATAGAAATATGTACACATATGACGTGAATGTCGTGTCTTTTTTCTGAATTTACACAAACACTTTCATTTGATCGTAAATTTGTTTTCCTAGTTTATGTTATAAACAGAGACCTACAGATGCAGTATAGCAAAGGAAACTCATGTGTGAATCTGAGTTTAAAGAAGTTTTTATTAAACTTGAACTTGCAACTAAGTTGCAAATAAATCTTAAACTGAAACTTTGCTTGTTTGCAAAAAGTTATTTCAGAGCCACTCAGTTCTACCTGATGGAAATTGTTTGCCTTCAGTGTTTTGTGTTTATGATAATTTTAATAGACATCAGCGTCACTAATTAATGACATTCTATTAAAAGATTGGTTTACCAAGAGAGACACTGGATATTCTCACCTAAAATGAGTTAATGAAGCAGAGTCTTGTTACAAAAATGATAATAGGACATTACAGTCATAATTAATCTTTTAGTACTTTTACTTTTGATACTTAAGTACATTTGAAGGCAAATACTTTTGTACTTTTACTCAAGTGGAGGTCTAAAGGGAGGAACTTCTACTTTTACTGAAGTAATATTTTACCTTGGGTATCTCTACTTTAACTCAAGTACATGATTTGTGTACTTCGTCCATCACTGGGGGTGGGTGATAATAAATAATTGTCCCCCTCTTTGAAGGCATATGATTCCCTAAATGTAACTAAAGCCCAGCAGTGAGGAGCTGAACTTTACCCTCCTCTGCTATCACTGCACACCTACAGAGCAGCGCTAGTAGCTGTTAATAAAGTAATGCTCTTTTTTATTTGAGGGTCCCATTTCATAGGGGACGATTTCAACTACTACCCCTTGTAACTTAGTTCCAAGGGACAAAGTGACACTTGAAAACAAGGGGTAGGAGTAAACTGGGATTGGGCCTGATTGTAGGGTATAAAGAGAGGTTAGAAAATGGTGGTGTAAAAATGAATTATGACTGTTTTTGTTACATGAAACCACACCTATGACCAGCAGGGAAAAATTACAATGAAAAAAAGATGAATACGGGCCCTTTAAAGGTAAAACACAAAGATGTGATTTATATGAACTCTGGTGTCTTTCACAGTGAAAGAAATGAATAAACATTTCCTTTGCTCTGAATGTACACCCAGTCCTAGGAACCAGTCTAATCTTTGACCTCACAGTCTAACATTGACAGATAGAGTTCAGCAGTGGTGTCATAAATTTGTAATTTATAACTGGTCATAAGTGGACTATTAGGCCAGCTTTATGAGGTGAAAGGAAACTAAATTTCATTTGTGTTGCATAACGTGAAGCTCCCTGCAACTCAACAGCTGGAATCATCTTGACTTTGTCAAACAAGTTGTATGAAGAGATCATTTTACTGATCAACACATCAAAGCCAAGAAAATAAACCAAAGATGGTGTCCTGGAATAATGCTGCTAATGTGCAGACAGTTAGCTTAAATTAGCCAGCTAACGTTAACCTCATAGCTATTTGAACTGCTTAGCACTTCTTGTGTTTTTTTGCGCAAATAGCTGAAGGTTGCATGAAACAATCCTGGCGAAAAGTGGTTTAACAATTATCCCAGCATACAACATGTTTGTTTATTTCACTAGTTAGCAGATTATTAGCTTGTGCTTTTCATATTTCTTAGCATTCTGGCTATAATCGTGTGTTGTGTTATTTAGCCTACATTTGCACCATATCATTTTTTTCAGTTAGCTTAACTAGCCAACTAACGTTAACCTCATAGCTATTTGACCTGCTTAGCACTTGTTCTGTTTTTTTTTTTGTTTTGTTTTGTTTATTGCACAAATAGCAAATTAAGGTTGCGTGAAACAATCCCAGCAAAAAGTAGTTTAAATATCATCCCAGCATACAACACATTTATTTCACTAGTTAGCAAGATTATTAGCATCTACTTTTCATATATCTTAGCATTCTGGCTATAATCATGTGTGTTGTGTTATTTAGCCTACATTTGCACCATAGTTGGCTTAACTAGCCAGCTAACATTAACCTCATAGCTATTTGAACTGCTTAGCACTTGTTCTGGTTTGTTAGCCTTCTATACTGTAATCTTCATAGCTAGATTTTCTCATATCTTGACCAAAAAATTGATACAATGCAAATCGTCGCTGTCCAAAGAAAAACAAGTATCTCCAAAATAGTAACTTTACAGGAGAGTTCAAAAATGTTCTTTACTGTCAATGTAAGTTAATGGAAAAAGATTTTATTCTAAGCAATTTTGGAGCATTTCTGTTGGTCCAATCATCATGAAATTTTCACACAATGTAAAGGATGGCTGCTGAGCTCAAATGATGCAGAAAAGTAAAAATCGCAAAAAATGGAGATAAATGTTTTTCGTTGGACAGCGACGAAATGTAGGCTAATAAACACAACACATATGATTATAGCCAGAATGCTAAGATATATGAAAAGCATAAGCTAATAATCTTACTAATTAGTGAAATAAACCTATGTGTTGTATGCTGGGATGATTTTTTAACTACTTTTTGCTGGGATTGTTTCACGCAAGCTTCAGCTAGTTGCGAGAAAGTTTTATCATGTTAAAGCCAGCCTTGCATGCACATACAAAGAAGAAGTCATGTGCATCTTGGTGAACTTAACAGAGAAGCATTGAGTAAATGCTGAGTCACGATGTCTCAACACAACTCAACAAGTTTCCACTGCATGACATTCGCAGGCGAAATGTTCATCGGGTCAGGTTAACTCTGTCCAAACACCTACAGCTCAACGTAACATGAATATTCATTCATTATTCAAACAGGAAACGGTGACTCAGGTCCACACAATGAAAGAAACTGACCCTACTGAGTGAGACAGACACCATTACCTTTTTACTTCTGACCTGTTGTTGTAGATACATTATTAACTTCAATGTCATGAAACAGTGCTGAGTACACTGCGTTCACTGTGGCAAAACCATCATGGAAATATCTAGTGATGTTTCATCAAAGTTAATGGGTTTATGTTGAACCCAAGTGGTGATGGTGCCTCACTAGATCATAAGCAACTCACATGTTTACTCCATTTTGTATCAGGCAAAGGTCAGAGACTGAGATAGAGGTAGAGATATGTCTGTGCTTTGTCAGCAATTTCAGTCAAGGATCGTGTAGCACCTTCAGTTTAGAAAGAGGCCTGTCAGCAGACCTGTCAGTGTGACCATTTAACACAAATATCCAGGATCTGAAATGAAACAGCCTCACTGGACACTGGATTACTGCAATGACTTTTTTTGTAATGTTTTTAATACTTTAAATTAGGGCTACAAAATTATTCATATTTTTATTGTTCTCACAACATAAATGTCTGCAATGAACACAGTGTTAAAGGCTGTGATTATAGAACAGATCAAGCTACATAGCACATGCAGCTTTTATTGCTTTATAGACAGCAATATATAGAAAGAAATACAGTATTGTTCAAACTTGCAAAGTTCAGTCTTAGAATTTGTTGGCATTTCTGCTTATTTTTCTTTTGACTTTACCTTCCTTATGCAAGTGGATTATCTTATATCTAACCACCTTGTATGCCTATACCCACATACCAATAAATATATGTGTATGTATGTAACAGGCATAACATTATGATCACCTCCTTGTTTCTACGCTGATTGTCCATTTAGTCCATGGGGGTCCTGACCACTGAAGAACAGGGTAAAAGGGGGCTAACAAAGTATGCAGAGAAACAGATGGACTACAGTCTGTAATTGTAGAACTACAAAGTGCACCTATATAGTAAGTGGAGCTGATAAAGAGAAACAAGGAGGTGGTCATAATGTTGTGCCTGATTGATATGTATATATATATATGTATATATATGTGTCTGCTAGTCCTGTACTGGCTGTCATTTCTTAGTTATGCTCAAAATGAGCTAAAATTGTCATTACCGAAACACCGTTGTTAAAGTTTCAGTAGAGTAATGATGAAGCGATCAATCATTTTAATGAAATTAACATATTTAAGTTATAGGGTCACCTGAATAAAAGGATTTTAGTCTAACGTCAGCTAAGAGTCCAGAATGCATTTTCATCTCTGACTAATCGACCTCTGACCAATTCGGTAGAATGACCCATACAGGAAAATCTGTAGGAATGTTTTTCTAATTTTTCTAATAGCCTTACAATGCACAATAATGTTCTTACAGTTGTTATGTAAGCTATTAGTATTTCATTAGCATTAATTCTTTTGTGGTATTGTATCTTTTGCCTTTAAAACACGTGCACCAATAATATGTTGTTGGTCTGCAGGCCAGTCAAAATCTTAAAAAAGTTATGATTCTACTCCAACCAAACGACATCTCAAACCTAGCATCATCCTCTTTGCGGCGTTTGCATGTCAAGTTCTAAGGTTGCAAACCTTAAAAGAGCTGCGTCACCGTTCATCATCAGGAGAGCAAGCACCTCCTTTGGGACTCAACCCTTTGTGGTGGCCTATTTTGGTCTGACATGCATTGATACACTGACACAAACAACCCTGTTCAAGGCTAATTACTTTGTGAACATATTAGATTAAAGAGTAATAAATTTTAATAACTCTTAAAACCTTATGTAACCTTTCTAATAACCCCTTAACTGACTCCCTTGAGTCAGCACTTTTTGCTCTAGGGTTGGCCGCTCCTCCTTTTGCCTGCCTACACGGTCATTACATCTGATTGGCTGGCTGCAGCCCCACAGCTTTTCCACTGTGATAATAAATACTGAGTAAACAGCCTCCATCTCACAGCTTTGGGAAGATCCACAAGAGGTTCTTGCTTCAACAGTGATTGAACGGAACTTCTTCTTCATCCTGCACTACTGATTATTTTGGAGACCAGCTCCACAACAGAGTTTATTTTTGTACCTTTTGATAATAAAAAGGAGAAAAATCAGCCGAAATGGAGTCTCAGATCCGTCAGAACTACCACCGCGACTGCGAGGCCGCCATCAACAGGATGGTGAACATGGAGTTTTACGCCTCCTACACCTACACCTCCATGGTGAGTTGTCGAAATCTGTGGGTACGTAATGTAATTTTAATCTGTTTTAATCTCCTTTCCAGTCTTACCTCTGATTTTCTTTTCTGCAGGCCTACTACTTCTCTCGGGATGATGTGGCCCTCGAGGGATTCGCCCACTTCTTCAAGGAGAACAGCCACGAGGAACGAGAGCACGCTGAGAAGTTTCTGGAATTCCAGAACAAGAGAGGTGGACGCATTTTCCTCCAGGACATCAAGGTATAGCTCCATTCAGCAGATTTTGGAGACATGAAAGTAGGGACTCCAACCACTAGAACTGAGAGCTTTTACTTCTTTATTCTATCAGAAACCTGAGCGTGATGAGTGGGGATCTGGACTGGAGGCCATGCAGTGCGCTCTGCAGCTGGAGAAGAAGGTCAACCAGGCTCTGCTGGACCTGCACAAGCTTGCCACAGATAAGGGTGACCCTCATGTGAGTATCCATGACCTGTCATCATATCTGTGTCACATAGCAGACCAAATACCATCCTATTGCAGTCTTCTATATAACACTAGCGAGCACACTCATTGTGATGGTTTAGCACTGTAGTTAACTAGTTGGAGAACCTCTGTTGAGAGTATTGTGATAGCACAGTCTGTCTTTTGTGGGTTTGACTGACATCACCATTTGGTTCAGTGATGAATTAATATTGTGAATTCTTTGCCCTATAAAAGGGTCAGGGAAACCGAAACACCTGTGGATTTTGATCAAGAGTGGAGTTTGAGTTTCCCCTCAATCTCAAAGATGAAAAGCTTTAGTATGGGGACATTCTTGGATGTCTACCAGGTCTACCATGGTTGTTAGGAGTCACATCATCTCTGCATATTTTAATCATTTTTTTGAAAATGACTGCATCAATATTGTCGCGCACCTTATTAATGAACATGCTGGTGTGCCGAAAACCTTGATATTTACACAACAACAGAGCTCTTGGAACCTCAAGTGAAAATTATGCCCACCAGTGCTTAAACACCACCTACGCTGACGAGATAAACCCTCCACCAAAAATCACAGCTGACCAATCAGAAACATGGTCATTAAAAGCTGCCGATTAGAGCTGGACTGTGGTGGCAGCCGGACAGCAGACTCACAGACTGATAGTTAATATGATGTTATTGTCTGTGAGCTCCACCTGATTATCACTCTCTCTTTATCCAACAGCTGTGTGACTTCCTGGAGTCACACTACCTGAACGAGCAGGTGGAGATGATCAAGAAGCTGGGTGACCACATCACCAACCTCTCCAAGATGGACGCTGGAAACAACAGGATGGCCGAGTACCTGTTTGACAAGCACACTCTGGGGAGCAAGAGCTAAATTAGGTCCTAGGCTTCATCCAGAGCTTTCAGAACCTCCATCTGAAATCTAAAATGTGCAAAAACACAGTCTTGAAGAGATGGAAGATCAAGAGTAGCTTTGTTTTACTCAGTCTTCTCTGTCCAGTTGTGAAGATTATGCTGGTTATGGCTGTGGAGGATCTGTAAACAAATCTAATGAATAAACATTTTGAGCTGAACACCTGACTCTTGTGTCTCTTTTTACAATGAAGATTTTAGAATATAGCTTGTCCCTCTCTCTGGCCATAGCTGGGTGGGTAGTGAGCTTGTCTCTAGTCATGGCAGGGTTTCCTACAAGCACTCTGGTTAGTTCTGCATCATTCGAGTAACAATATAACGTTACTGACATTAACAAACAATCCAGTAAGTTTTCACATATACAGTGTACAGTGCAAAAAAAAAGTCATCAGCTTAAAATTTTGATTTCTGCATAACTTTTTTTAATTTTCTCAACTTAGTTTAGTCAGAATTTCTCTTAATTAGTAATTAATTGTTTTTTTTTTTAAATACTTCATCTAAGCTAGGTCTACAAAATGCAGTTTAAGTAGAGCTTACTCAAAAACGTCCTTAAAATTGTTGTTGGACTGGATGGCAACTTCATGGCTCCACAGTGGTGCTATGAAAGCATATCAGTGGCAGAATTAAAATGAAACTGTAATATGTAAAATGGCCATGTATTCTCATATTTGAATTTAAATTTCACATTTATATGTACAATTGTGGACTCAAAATGAAAATTCAAATTCAGTTTTGCCATTTTAATTTACCATTTGATGCACTAGTATTGACATTTCATTTACACAGAGATTTAGACACTTTCCAAGTAGATTATGCAACAATGGTGTAAACATTCTGTTGAAAAAAATAAGAAATAAAGGTTCTGTGCGGTACATTTTTTGTTCATCAAGGTACAAACAATGTAAATGTTCCCTCAAAGGTACAACAGCAGTTTTAAGTTACAATTGTGAACCAGGTTTTTCCAGGTGAAAAGTTCGTATTTGCACCTTTTCATAATCTAATATTTCAAAACAGAACAATAAAATAAAAAGCCTGGAGACGAGACGGGGTGTGTGGAGTCAGTACAACTTAGAAAATATCACTTAATTGCATTATACTACACTTATGTTCCCTGACTAAAGGTACTGACATGTACCCTTGAGGGGACCACCCCAGTGACAAGAGGGGTCCTGCCCCAGAGACAGTTTACTACCTTTATTTCTGAGAGTGTAATAAAGCTTTTGAAATTGCATTATCAACGAAAACATCAAGCTAGAAAGGCGTAGAATCCAAATGTAAAAGAGAAACAGCGCCTCTCCTCTTTGCAATTACATACTGTATTTTCTGCTGTTGGCCCCACCCTGAGGGTATGATTGACAGGTTGGGAAGTCTATGAAAATAAAAATTTGGTCAGGGTGACAATTTTTAAAGGTATTTTGCAACAGAATGAGTGCAGTAGGTGAGAATATGTAATTGCAAAGAAGTGAAGTCCTGTGTTCCTTTTATATATGAATACTGCATCTTTCTAGCTTGGTGTTCTCTTTAATAAAAGCAACAAAAAGATCTGGACAATGTATTCAGTCCAGCAGCAACACTGAGGCATTTAAAAACTCCAGCAGCACTGCTGTGTCTTATCCACTCAGACCAGCGCAACACACACTAACACACCACCACCACGTCAGTGTTACTGCAGTGCTGAGAATGATCCACCACCCAAATAATACCTGTTCTGTGGTGGTCCTGAGGGGGTCCTGACTACTGAAGAACAGGGCAAAAGGGGGTAACAAGAGTATGCAGAGAAACAGATGGACTACAGTCTGTAATTGTAGAACTACACAGTACTCCTGTCAGTGGAGCTGATAAAATGGACAATCAGCGTAGAAACAAGGAGGAGGTTTTAATGTTATAGCTGATCTGTGTACATATAAGGCATGACTTTTTGATCAAAGGTACGTAGAGCAGCTTAAAGATATACTGCAGTAAAAGTATTGTTACCTATTTAAAATAATGACTACAGTCCAAAAAAAACTATTTACATACTGAGTTCCTCACAGAACTGCAGCATCTTTTAGTACATCCAGCGTCTTTCAGCACAGGAACTGAAGTTTGTCAGGTTTTGTTCTTCTCTTTCTGCATCCTATTAGAATAAAATTAAATGTTAAAGCTCCAGTCAGAGGTGTGAGATCACAAATCAGAGCAGACGCTGAACCAATAAAATAGGATGAAATTAAACACAGAATTTTAACTGTTTAAATTAAACAATAAAATTCAACATTACAAAGGAATTAGTCATTAAATGTTAACTAAAATGTACAAAAACGTAAAATGTAAGAATGATTAATTGCTAATCTCTTCTGTTGCTGATGTATTTGAGATGCACGTCCTGGTTAGTGTGTTCAGTCTCTTACACCAGTAATTGGAGAACTTAACGGAGATGCAGAAGTGAGCAAATGCTGAGTCACAGTGTCTCAGCACAACTTCAGGTCATGAGAGGTTCCACTGTGTGACGTCCACAGAGAAAATGTTCATTTACTTACATCATCTATGTAAACAACTTTAATTAACCTACAAACAGTTTCCTTTTTCTATATTCTGTACATTATTAACTCATTATTAGTGCAACAGTTTGTAGACACCTGCTCTTCCACCGTTTCTTCTGTAATGATTAATAGGGAGTTTGTCCCCCTTTGCTGAAGTAGCAGCCTCTACTCTTCTGGGAAGGCTTTACACTAGCTGTTGGAATATTGTGGTGAGGATTTGATTGCATTCAGCTACAAGAGCATTAGTGAGTCAGGTACTAATGTTGGATGATCAGTTCTGGACGAACCAGGAGTAATTCAGTCCAGAGTACAATGTGTTTATAGTCATAAAGCCACAATGGACACTTCTAATGATGTCATAACAAGGTTAAAGGGGTTATACTGAACCCAGTCAAGTTACAAATGATCAGTGTCACATAACTCAGTGTTCATCTACATCACACAAGCAGAGGATGGCCTATGATAGATACATAGATAGACAGACAGACCTATATAGAGACAGACAGATGGAAAGGTAGATACACAAACAGACAGATACATTGATTGATAAATAGATTAAGTGACAGACAGACTGATAGACAGACAGACAGATAGACAGATTGATATTTAGATAGACGGATAGATGGAAAGATAGATGGAGAGATAGCTCTTAGAGACATGAAGTGCTTCAGACGTCTGGTTCCCTTCACCACCATTGAAAAGAAACTATTTAGAGTTATTACGTTCATCCAGAATGGCGCATTTTACATCAGACCACTCTTGTGTTACATCTTAATTTTGAACTTTGAAAAATTGGTGGAATTCCCCTTTAACTGGGTACTAAACTTACATTATAGACCTGTTTTTATTCCAGTCCCTTCACTGCTGTTTTATCTTTTTAACACTTTTCATACTACTTTGAATACGTTTTCCTCTTGGCATGGATGGTTTTAGTCTCAGAGCCCTTGGGAATGTTGGAACTTGATAATTTGTAATATTAAAGTAGGTGTTCAAAAAGATAGCTAATGTATGTGTTTTGGCGTTTGTTTCTACCAGCCAAACTGATTGCTCTGGGTTAAAACAGGTTGCTGTCTTACTCACAACTCTAATCAAAGGTCTCCATCACTGCAGCGTTTGCACTTCTCGTCATCTTCTAATGTTACAAACCTTAGAAGAGCTGTGTCACCGTTCATCATCACCTCTTCTGGGCCCGTTTTAGTCTGAGCTGCACTAAAATCTAACAAACAAACCTGCTCACAGATCTGACAACTTCGAGCAAATAATATTACAGTTTAATAATTATTATATTTTGTAATTTTTATAATAACCCCTTTATGACTTCCTTGACTCAGCAGTTTTTGGTTAGGGTTGGCCGCCTCTTCTTCAGCATTACGTCAGCATTAGATCCTTGCATCTGATTGGCTGGTGCAGCCCCACAGCTTTTCCACTGTGATAATAAATACTGAGTAAACAGCCTCCATCTCACAGCTTTGGGAAGATTCACCAGAGGTTCTTGCTTCAACAGTGATTGAACGGAACTTCTTCTTCATCCTGCACTACTGATTATTTTGGAGACCAGCTCCACAACAGAGTTTATTTTTGTACCTTTTGATATTAAAAAGGAGAAAAATCAGCCGAAATGGAGTCTCAGATCCGTCAGAACTACCACCGCGACTGCGAGGCCGCCATCAACAGGATGGTGAACATGGAGTTTTACGCCTCCTACACCTACACCTCCATGGTGAGTTGTCTTTACTGAAGCTGGCTTTTTTAATTTTCCCGTTCCACCTTAAGTGGTGCAGCAGTTACATTCTAGCGCCTCAGCTGAAGTTAGAATCTTTTTCGAATTTTCAGTTCCACCTTAAAAGGTGCAGCAGTTACGTTCTGGTACCTGAGGCTCAGTGACATTCTGGCGTCTCTTTTTTGGAATTTTCCCGTTCCACCTTAAATGGTGCAGCACATTCTAGCGCCTCAGCTGAAGTTGGCGTCTTTTTCGAATTTTCCCGTTCCACCTTAAAAGGTGCAGCAGTAAGATTCTGGTACCTGAGGCTTAGCTACATTCTGGCGCCTCTTTTTTTGTATTTTTTCGGTTCCACCTTAAATGGTGCAGCAATTAAAATCTAGCGCCTCATCTGAAATTGGCGTCTTTTCCGAATTCCCTCGTTCCACCTTAAAAGGTGCAGCAATTACATTCTGCTACATGAGGCTCAGTTACATTCTGGCGCCTTTTTTAAAAAAAAGTAAAAATCCCGTTCCATCTTAAATGGTGCAGCAGCTACATTCTAGCGCCTCAGAATGTAACTCTTGCACCATTTAAGGTGGAACGGAAAAAATAGAACAAGTCGCCAACTTCAGCCTCGTTATTTCACCGTAATAAACAAACCTGTTGGGTTTAAAACGTGTTTTTTGTTTTTTAAAACGTGACAGTTTCCTAGTCTTACCTGTGATGTTTTTCCCTCCCAAACAGGCCTTCTACTTCTCCAGGGATGATGTGGCCCTCAAAGGTTTCGCCCACTTCTTCAAGGAGAACAGCCATGAGGAACGAGAGCACGCTGAGAAGTTTCTGAAATTCCAGAACAAGAGAGGTGGACGCATTTTCCTTCAGGACATCAAGGTACGTCCTCAGGAGAGTCCTGAGGGAAAGTGCATTCTGTAAAACAGTGGTTTACAATACACTAAAATGGGAGCTGGATTGGGCAGTACTTGCTATGAGAAAGAAGCATCTGCCTTCACTCCAGGTATTCATGTACAGTAGTATAAGACAACACAGTAGTACTTATTGGTTACAACAAGTACAGTAAAGGACTGTACAGTGTTAGCCAAGTTCTCCAACATCAGAAATAAGCTGAGTTACTTAAAAATGCTTTTCTCCTCAGAAACCTGAGCGTGATGAGTGGGGAACTGGACTGGAGGCCATGCAGTGCGCTTTGCAGCTGGAGAAGAAGGTCAACCAAGCTCTGCTGGACCTGCACAGGATCGCCACTGAGAAGGGTGACCCTCATGTGAGTCCCTGAATTACTATTAGCATAGAAAGTGTAGGGCAGGCTGGGGACCTTCTGGGCCAAAGTGCTGTGGAGATCAGTGTTTACCCTCATATATATATATATCTATATATATATATATCTATATATATATATATATATATATATGTGTATATATATATATATATGTATGTATGTATATATATATATGTATATGTGTGTATATATATAATATGTATGTATGTATATATATGTATATGTGTGTATATATATAATATGTATGTATGTATATAATATGTATGTATGTATATATATATATATATATATATATATATATATAGTGTATATATATATATATGTGTATATATGTATATGTATATATAAATATATTGTGTGTGTGTGTTTTCTTAAACATACCTTAGTTTTCCTTCAACCATTTCCTGTGTACAAGCATTTTACTCCATGGTTAGTTCAGAAAATGTATACAATAGAAAAGATTGCACTTATTTATAAGCCAAAACATTACCTACTCACATACATCTGAATGGCACTTCAGGTTATCACATTAACTTTCAGTCTGGCAAAGAATGATCCATACAAATGAAACCAGTAAACTCTGGTACATGAGATCTGCTCTACAGTAGAGAAAAAAATGGATGAGCTTGTCCAGAAGAAGGTCCAACGCACCACTTTGGCCATATTTTGGTTTCCAACCTAACAAAAGTGGAGATCCATTGGATGTTAACTGTTAACATGCCATCTGCACAGAATATAGTTAATATAATATAGTTATCATTATAAAAGATTAGTTATATTAAAAGGTTGGCCAGTTGGTAATAATATGGTAACAATATTACCATCAGGGAAAATGTGCACTCTTTAAAAAAAAAAAGAGTTCTCCAAGGGTTCTTTGGTAAAGAAAATGGTTCTATATAGAACCATGAACACTCAAAGAACCCTCTGCATGATTAAAAAGTTTTTGCATCATAAAAGGGTTTTTTAGACTGGGGAATGTGATGTAGATGGTTCTATATAGCAAGGGTTCTTCTATTGTTACGGTGTGAAACTTGTATCAGTAGAAGAGTCATTTTGGGTGTTATATAGAATCCTTTTCATAAAGTTTCCCTATGGAACCATCTACAGCAAAGTCTCCATCAGTTGGAAGAACCCTTACATGATGCAAAGAACCCTTTAATCATGCAGAGGGTTCTTTGAGTGTTCATGGTTCCATTTTTGCTTCTAATGTACCCTTAAAATTTTCAGGACTGTATGCTATATGCTAAGGCTCTGTAGTACAGATCACAATATCACTTATTGTGATAATCCTGCAGGCAGTACTTATTGGTATAGTGTAGCAGGTAACACCACTGCCTGGCCTGCCATGGTGCAGACTGGGGCTCAGTCCCCACCTCAGCATGCTATACTATACCAGTAAGAGTCCTTGGGCAAGACTCCTAAGACTGCCTTTGCCTGCCTGTGTAAAAAAACATCAGATTGTAAGTTACTCTGCTGTTAACGTTTGTCTAAATTTACACTCTCATCCGAGCTCAGTCTGGGTTGCATGAATGAAAAGTGCTATGCAAATTAAATACATCAGATACATCAAACCCATCAGCTGCTACCTGGCACATGCCAAATGGTATAAAACACCTCATTCTATGGAAATCATCATCAAACTGAATGAAGCCCTGATTGTGGAGAGGCACAAATTTCCATACATATCTGATCGATTATTCTCTGTCCAATAGCTGTGTGACTTCCTGGAGTCGCACTACCTGAACGAGCAGGTGGAGATGATCAAGAAGCTGGGTGACTACATCACCAACCTCACCAAGATGGACGCTGGAAACAACAAGATGGCCGAGTACCTGTTTGACAAGCACACTCTGCGGGGTGAAAGCTAAATTAGGTCCCAGGCTTCACCCAGAGCTTTCAGAACCTCCACCTGGAATCAGTGAAATGTGTCCTGTTATTAAGCTCTCGTTTTGGCTGTGGAGGATCTCTACATGTTCACACTAAATTGTGAACGAATCTGATGAATAAACATTTTGAGCTGGAAATGAAAGGCTTGGTGTGTTTTTATTTATTTTTTTTCTTTTCAGTAAAGCTTGTCTAATCACGGCTGAGCTGAACTCGGTCTGTCACAATTACTACATAAATGCCTTACACAATCCTATGTTGCGTTGCAGCAGACAGAATAGATGAAGTGCATGTTCATCAGATATTTAAGGCAAATGCATGTTAATAAAGGAAGGCAGAAGGTGTGTTTGAGATGCATCATGGGTCTTTTGAATTGCTGCTGTAACACCTTTTAGAGGTCAGCAGAATTACCACTAATTTCTTCAGGGTTTCTCAAACACTAGAGGGCGCTCCCGAGTGAGTCCAAATTGAACGGGTTAATATGGAACATTTGAGCAAAATCGTAGTTTATGAATGCTTAAACGTTTTTATTTTAAAAGAGTACATTTATTTCCTTAACACTGAACAGCATCATACATTTTAACACTGATGTTATATTTTTAAGAGCTTTTAAACTCGAGTTGTAGGAGTTTAAAACGTCCATGATGTCTGTGAGCACGGACAGCCACTGAGCTGCTCCACTTGCCAACCAATCAGCTCTCAGTAGCAGTAATGCTGCCCAAAACCCGTTTGCTGTAGAAAAAAAGGAAACATATATGTAAGTTTTTCTTTGTTTTTTTAGTGAAATACATTCTTCTACTTTCTAAAATTAAAGGAAGGTTCAGGGCGAGTGATTAGAAACTATTTTAACTTTAGTTTTTAGCTGTTGAGCTTCATTTACTCCCATTCATTGAGGACTCGCTCGTGAGCGCCCTCTGCTGTTTTGCAGTCCTATTTTTGATATAACGGGAAATAGGAAGTGGCCAGGCTCCTCATAAACCGGCTTTGCTCTGAGCTTTTTAGCATCTAGGAAGCAAGATAGCCGATCAGCCAATTGGACCACTTTAAGTTCATACTTTAACAGTTTCATACAATAAACAAAAAATATTGATATGATTAGCTACACTTTTATTACTGTTACAGGCTTAGACTGAGCTGTAGGAGCATTCATTAGACAAAATGCACTTTGTGGAATCTTAAAATAATGCAACCTTAGTTCAATCAGACATTATTTTTGATGATATGACAAAAATGTAAAAATTAAGCATTAGCTACATTAACATGCCTTTTCTCTTTCTGTTTATGCACTAATTATCTTCAGATAATATGCAGAGCTACACACAGGCCTTGATTTGGCTCTCTCCACTTGCCACCACTGGATCAATGTTATTTCACCTCACAAAGAAAATTACAGGAAATTATTCCTCAGAATGTCCGCATAGTTAACTTGTTAAGATGTAAACAAAGTCAATCAGAGTGGTTTGATATGCCCCATTCTACAGAAACCTGGGGAGTCAGAATTGTTCACAGTGGTGGTGACAGGAACCAGACGTCTCTGAAAAGTTCCTCACAGAAAGCTACTACATTAAATGCTGCTTGATGCCAGAGACATTGTTTATGACAGTCATGAGGTGGTTTTGGCTTGTTTGTAAAATACTTTCATATTGGAGAGGCCCACGCGAAGCAAAATAGTCCCCAAAGAATATCAGAAATTTGACCATTTTACCATTTTTAAAAATGCATTTACCACCATGAACATTACATGAAAAACTCAGAAAACACATGTAGGTTAAACTGAACAATCTGTATAATTCCCTTTTAACAATATAGTTCAATCTAAGTGTCAAGAAAATAGACAACATTTTCATAAAGAAACTGGTTTAAAAACGGATGCCTGTGTTGAAAGTGTGCAGCAGACAGTCCTGAAAGCCAGACTTGGTCAGTTGAATTTGTGTCTCCTGTTTGACCCTGTAAAGGTGGTAATGAGCCGTTGTGTACGTGAGCAGTAGGCCACTGGGTGGCTGAGTGAAGCCATGTCTGTTGAGGGTTTTCACAGAGTGCTAACAGGTAATTACTGCTCTTTCCTTGTGTGTCAAGGTTTACACAACTGCTGTGTACAATTACTGGACTCCACGTCTCTCACAGGCTTACATTAGTGGGAAAACAGCTGCGCTTAACAAACCAGAACTGTGCAGTTCCAGGATACATCCTGAATGATACAGTGCTCTGTAATAAGGTTGGGAGATATGATAATATGTTATTGTTATTGTGATAAATCATGCCACAGTATACTTTTGCGAGTATATTATGGGTATTGTCAGCACTTCCAAAACAACCATAGTGCATCATAAAATGATCAGTTGTAGAGATGCTGTAAGCAATAAAAACCAGCATAAATCAACTGCATAAGCTGCCTAGTAACAAGTAGCTGATTGGATGATAATCTTATTTTATTCATGTATTTTTACTAGTTGTTTTTACATGTTCTTTCTCAAATAATGGCTTGAATTTAGCAAATTTTAAATAAATAAAAAAACAGGAACAATTTTTTTGAAGGCTACCTCCATAGGAACTACATAAGCATGTATTCATAAAGCAATACGTGAATATTTATAACCAGCTTATGTCAGTATTTACAATATGACACAGAATGTTTTATGAAGTAAATGACACTGTTAACGCAACTGAAATGACAGGCAGAACTCTTTATAACGCTGTTCGGCCGTTTTAGCTGGACTCAAAGCAGGGATGAAAGCAAAACTCCATCTGACCCAGCGCTGCTGTCGGGCTAAAAGGTGCCTCAGCGAGCAGCTGTCCACCTATTCAGGGACTCGTGACCCATTTCATCTCTTTCTAAAAACGAGAAAAAGTGGTTTAGAATAATACATGGCAAGAGGCTTTTTTTCCGACTTAAAGTTCTGACTTTTACTTGTGGTTTTGAATTCTGATTTGTGTTTTTTGGTGGCATTTTCATTTGAATAAAAAAACCCAGAGAACTTGTAGAGAGGAGAATTACCATTCTGTAATGTCTTCCAGGTTTGTCAAACACTAGGGGGCGCAAGTGAGTGCAAATTAATAGGTTGATATGGCGCATTTGAGCAAAATAACAGTTTGTAAATGCTTAATAAGTTTAATGCGTCATTTCCTGAACACAGAACATTAAAACATTTTAACACCGCAGTTATATTTTTGAGTGCTATCGAACTCGAGTTATAGGACTTTATAATGGCGTCTCAAGTAAATTCATGACGTCAGTGAACGTGAACCGCTTTAGTCAGCCAATGAGCTGCTTCACTCACCAACCAGTCATCACTGAGTAACAGTAATGCCTACCAATCAGCTCTCAGTAGCTGTAATGGTAGAGTCCTGCTGCCCAAAACCCATTTGCTGTAAAAAATAAACAAACAAACAAACAAAAAACAAACACACAGGTGAGGTGAAGGAAGCACCTGTACAAGTGGTTAGAAACTATTGTACCTTTTTTATTTTTGTTTTTTCAATTTAGTTTCATAAACGCTGTTTATTGAAAACTTGATCGCGGGCGCCCTCTGTCATTTTGCAGTCATGTTTTTTTTTATATAATGGGAGAAATAGGAAGTGGCCAGGGTCCCCTTAAACCTGAGTCTGAAAAAACTTCTAATTCTTCTTACAGACCATGACGGAACTAAACTATTCAACGTTTACACGGTAGGGAGGGTTGTCACTCAAAGGGGGTGATCAGGGGCATCACCAGAGGTCCCCCAGGAGCATTTTTTAACGATCCCAAAATGTTCACTAGGATCTGTTACAGCAGGAACAGCCAGAAAATGTATCGAAATGTCTGTTTGGTCAAACTGGCACACAGTAGATCGGTTTGTCTTGTAAAACTCGCCTAGCAATGCCCATGGGAGTGACATAATTTTTTTATTATGCAACGCAATAATTATTACTTAAAATGATTTTGATGATTATTGATTATGATTAAATGATAATTAAGAATCAACAAACCTTAAAAAAAATGGAAAAAATTACAGTCTTTGTGAGCCAAGGGGGCCAAAGGGCGCCCCGTGTTGAAGTGGAGGTTTTTAAAACAATGCAATACCACTTGTCACCGCATGAGGGTACTGTTTCCCATAACAGGTTAATCCGATTTTTACCAAATCCCTCTGAATGTGACCGGAGACTGAAATTTCGAGGCGTTTACTAACATATAGCTTCTGACATTTTGTCGTGTCCTGAGTTTGACCTTTCCCGTCGCAGTGTCATAAATCTTCGAATAGGATTTATCAGTTTGTCCATCTGCATATGCCAATCGGCCCAGTGTATCCTATAAAGCTCCCGCGCGCTCGCCGCGTAATCGGATTAAGACTATAAAGGGTCTCTGCACAAACAGTTAGATGGGAAATTACAATGGGATGAAGATCGGAATGGCAGGGATTATGTAATATATGAAAAGTGATATAATGCCATAGGCTGTACTGATAGACTTCCACGAAGCCTCTGTTTGCTCCTTATTATTAAGAGCTACTTGTTCGAATTGTCCGTTCCACCTTAATTGGTGCAACAGTTGCATTCTGGCGCCTCAGGCCAAAATGTCACCTCATTTTAGTTCCACTGATACATATAAAGAAATACATAAAGACAATTTGATGATAGAGAGTAAGTAAACCAAAGCACAGATTTAAGGGCAGGAGGACAGTCAGTGGGGGCAGAGAGCAGCCCAGAGAGGAAAGAAAGATTAATCCAAGTTAAGAGAGAGAGAGACAGAGAGAGAGGAGATTAGAGAGGAGAGCGCGTGCGCACGAGTGCAGGTCGCGCGCAAAAAATCCTCTCCAACCAAAGCGGAGGTGTCCAGTTTCCATCTATAAAAGAGGAGACGAGTGACTGGAGATCATCATCAGGTGAGTTTGCCGTTGTGCTCGCGCGTTATGACTCATTATAGAGCATCACTAGAGGGGGTTTGATTGTGCAGGTGGACATACTTGTTCTGTTGGTGTCAGATTATTAAAAATATGTGGATTTATATACATCAGACGAGCTCAAATATACAGGAAAGCCTTAAAGAAGCCCATCTAAACTTCAGTTCATCGATTTTGTCTGTCTTTGTGCGCACTGGCTACTCTAAAGGCGCATGACAGATTA